ATCCTGTCCCTACTCTTCTGAACATGTTCCACTCTCCTTCCCCTGCTGTCCTGCTCTCTATCCCACAAGCCTTCCATGCAAGACAGTGCATACGTTCAAGAAAGAAAAACCACACTAAAACCAACCCTAATCAAACAAAAAAAATCTCTGTGCTTCTCCTCAGTTTTGCTCACCACCTTTTCAAAGGCCAAAATCAGGCCACACAAAACAGCTAGAAGCATGGCTTTCCCACAAACAAAAAGTAAATTGTATTAAATAGTTTCCATCATTCATATACACAAACACATACAGAAAGGCATCTAGCATCCAAAAACAGACACACAGTGGTCTCAGTTGTCCATGCAGACACTAATAAAACTTACTGTAGACAGACCTGCAGCTGTAGCTGTGCCATTACACAGAGCTAATGCACGCAGCAGATATATCCTCACTGACTGTCTCTATCTGGCATTACACACAGAACAAAGCATAGGTAGTGCCTTCCTCTGCAAGGCAGTAAAAGTTAACTTGAACTACTGGCATACACATCCTCTTTCTCTTGCCCCTCTTCACATTCACTGAACAGACCCATCCTAAACTAGAGTCAGAAGACACAAGAAAACACACACACGCAAGCATACTTACTCAGGCACACACATCACATGCACGCATGTTTTCAGCTGTCACATCCAGCCTGATAAAGCCCAAATTTACAGAGAAGTGAAAAAAATTCTCCTTCCCACATCAAGCAGGATATCCTCAGGAAGGTGAGGCACCAGGATCATAATAATCATCCATTATTATGAATTCCTCACACATCTCCACTCTGTCCCCTTTGCGTCTGTATTTCGTGGGTCTCTGCAGTTCTGTCGGATGACAAAGTGGCTCTCTGACTGATTCAGGCTCAGCATCACTCAATGTTCTTGTTATAATGCTGTGCTGAGAGTCTGGTAATAAACAGCTATTTAACTGCTTTGTGAGGAATATCAGCATATTTTCCTCTGCCTTAGAGTTAAGGTTGTTGTCTGTTGGGTTGGGGGCATTGTTTTGTTGTTTTTTTTTCATTAGAAGGAATTAACATGATGAATGGATTGCAACCTGTTGTCCATAATTGCCATAAATTAATCCTTCCTTCAGCGTATTTTGAGCAAAGAAGATGGAAGTGTGAAATGTGCTAAGGCCAATGCCTGTCATTCTTCTGTGCTCCAGGGAATGCACATGCTCACATAAAACACACACACAGGGGCTCATTTTTACAGGTTCTGCTTGAATATCCACACCAAGCTAGTTTAGATACCTACACTTTTGTTGCCTGCTGCTCTTCTGCAGCAGAAAGTGCTGCTGTGCACGACCAGACACACACAGAGGGAGGAACATACATGTGCACTGATGCATGGGAATATAAACGTAGGTACATGTATACATACATGTGCACTTACAAAAACACATGCTGAGCTTTGTGGTTCAGTAAACTACAGCCCATAGTTGCCCAGAGTCCAACACAAAGTCACAGTGAAAAGCCTGGGAAAGAAGGGATACCACAGACCAGAGCAGCACCTCTAGGCCATGTGCATCCCCCTGGATTGTGTTTTCTAGGGACTGCTTCTGGTGCTGGCTTGTGTTCCAGGTTTCCCTGCTTTATTTTATTTAATTTTTTACAAAAGTTTGGATTTCAAAAGGACAATTCTTCTTCTTCCTTGACAACCAAAACAATAGTTTTCAGCAGCAAAGTAAATCTCTCTTTTGGCATTTTGTCAGCTTCTAAACTATTCCCAAGTTTTGATGTCATGAAATTGGGCCTTGTATTTAGACAGGGAACTAAGTCATGACCTCTGCAGCTTGATAAGGAGCCATATTCCCTCAAAGACCTCACAGTGACTGCTCTCTGGACTTTTTAATATCTAGTTTGGCAGTCCAGGCTCATTTTGCATTCTTACTGAATCATATTTCTGCAAGAGAAAATCCTGTAGTGTTCCTATAGGACATTGTGAAGCCAGCTAAAGCAATCACTCACATCTCACCAGCAGCTTAGGAGAGAAGTACAAGGCCTACCTTGCAGGACAAATGAACGTTTGCATCTATTATGGGCAGAAAGTACTCATTCCTGGTGTGTGTGCAAATACAAATAAAAATGTGCGTTTTCAGCGAGCACAAAGATGATGCATTTACACAGCATGTGTGAGCCAAGCACTTTCTACTTCAGCCTGAGCTAGCAAGAAACAGGTCAGGACATGCCTGGAGGCCATAGTGTTAGCATGGCAGTATGCCACACTGATAGACCCTGCCTTTTGGTTCATTCAGCACAGAAAAGTGCTACAGTACCTCCACTAACTATCTGGCTTTGGGACTGGAGCTATCCAGCCTTCAGCCAGCTCTGAGCATGGATGGAGCCGCTGAGGACCCTGTGCACTCCCTCATGCAGAAATGCCAAGAATCCCTCTCCAAGAAGCCGCAGGAGGCTCCTACATACAGCACAAAACCTGGATCTAGATTCGTCTTGTATTAAAGGCAGTACTAGATGTGTGATTTTAGGTGTCATCTGTTTCCACTACATGAAATCAGGAATGTCCCTTCAGTAGCAAGAGGTAAAGATGAGTCTTTCCCAGGAATATCTAATGTGATTCTTTCAAACTATAATTTTTTTAGAAAAGGCCTACAGGATATTCAGGGCCAGCATAGCCATGTCTGTTCATTTGGGATTTGATCTTGACTTTAATGAACACTGACCAAAATGGAAAATAGTCATGTGCACTGGCAGAGTAAATGCCCAGGAACAAATTTTAAAAATGATGAGCAATTGCAGGTAACTCCACATTTGAAGCTAACATTAAGATGCTTTCAGATATGTTTCTTTTAAGAGATAGGGACTGAGCATTTTCTGAAAGTACATATAGTATTACTGGTCATCATTGAAAATTCAGGCCAAGGATTGCTTCTCTGACAACTATTATGTAAAATGTGTAAGAATTTAAATCTTAAATGTAAAGTAATGCAATTCTTCTATATCATGTCTATTACTTTACTTTTTTTACAGTCTGCAGGAGAAAAAAGAAATCAAACAAACTGACTTCTCAAGCTGTTGTGTTTTTTTTTTTTCTTTAGGGATTACTTAGCTGTGCTGCATCTCTGCTTTTTCATGCTTTTGGTTCTAACATAGCTAAAAGTAAGCATCTGATCATCTGTTCCACAGCCAATGGAAAGCAGAAACACACAGTAACATTCCCAGGGCAGATATTAGCAAGTTCCTCTTAGGAAAAACAAAATATTGCAAACACCAAGGTTTTCTTCCGGGGGGATTTAAATGCAGTCACGTTACACCCTTTCTTAACAATCTCTTTTTCCTTCCCTTTATGAACAAGGCAGCACGCAGACTGATACCAGCTTGGGCAGAACTGTTCATACCATAAAAAGCTTTTTGGAGAGCAGTTTGCTGGTACAAGTGAACTGAGGCTTTTAGTTTGCAAGTTAGCAAAAGAAGCTGATACCAGTTGATCAGAATTATGAGCAGTTCCCGGAGAAAAAGAATTCCTGAGAACCCTGAGCACAGATTTGCTCATCCCATCTCTTATAGTAGCTAAATAGGGCCTGTGCTGTGAAATGAGGGTTTAGCATACAGAATAGAGAGAGACACATCTAATCAAATACCAGGACTCTGGAGATGGCTCCTTTTGAGGTAGGATTAAAGTCCAAACTGCCTAATCTTATGTTTGTGCACATGTAAATTGATACTAGTCTTTCAGACCTCTGAACAACTTCTGAACTGTGCTTAGTTGCTTTGAATGACTCCAGAATATCTGAATATATCCAAGGCTAGCTGGTAACCTTTGCACTGTGTGATCCAGGCTGAATATGCCATGATGCTGCTCAGCTGTTGAATATTTCAGAGACAGCCAAGAAGTACATATTTCTACTGCTACTTATACTGCATTTCCAACAACAGCAGCAAATTCTTGCAGATAAGGAGACAAAACAATTAGTTGCAAATGCAAAAGCCAACATATCTTTTGGCATGATAAAGAAAGGGGAGGTGGACCAGGCATTTTACTGTCTGCCCATACACTGAGATGTTATTGTGACATAAAAATAAGAAATGTTTAAAATACAGCTGATAGCACACTACTACCAGCAAGGAATACATTGCTTGCTGTGCTACAGAGCAACAGAGAGGATGTACACAGAAAGAGGATACTGACCTGCTGTTAAATGGGCAGCATGGACAAGGATTCGAACTCCTGGCTTCAACTCAAAATGGACCAGGTTTTGGTTCAGTTTCTGGATCAGTGTTTCTGAAATCTGAAAAAAAGGAGAAGATAAGAAATGCATTTTTCTCTTAATCATTGGTTTAGATTGCCAGTAGGTGGGTAGGAAATGGAGCTGCATGCAAAGAAAAGATTTTGCAGAGGCACCAGAATCTCTGAGCACAATTTTCTATCACCTTACAAAGAAGGAGTTTGTGAAAGTTGAACACATTCGCCAGTACTATGTTGAGAGTGGTTTGTGTATGGTTAGCAATGACTGATAGGAACAAGTTGCCCTGTCACACCTATGTAGGAGTGGCCCAGCAGCAAAAGGGGATTGAGCCCCAATTGAACATTACACCACATGTTCAAGTGTCTGCAGGATCAACCAGCAACAGCACATCAGTGAACTCCGTTTACTATTCAAGCAAAGACAAGCATTTTGATTGTTAACACTCATTTGCTCACAACAAATAACTTTTTGCTCATTCTGTGGCCAGCTCCGTGATCTTAGAGCACGTTCATAACATGCAATACACCTGAATCAAAATGTTTAAGTCCTTACCCCAGCTTGCACTTAAATTTCAAGTCCTAAAACCAAATTTAATTTCATCCAGCTCTGAGTTGCAAGCCACCTGCTCCCTAATGCTTAAGGATGTACCAGAACCAGCTCAAATCTGAAAGTGTTTACTGACTACAGCGTGGCTTAAACAAAATGCATGTTCCATCTATTCTTATGGGTTACACACAGAAAGAAGATGCTTTTATGTTCTCTCTTTCATGGGAGAGACATTCCACAGAATTTCTAGATTATCTTGCCGTAACTCTGATGACAACAATAGAGCTCTAGCAGAAATGAAGCAGGTTATTCCTCCTTAAAGGACACAACAGAAAAGATAAGCATTTGCCAAGATCCCATGACATCTGTATTTGTACAGTGAAGAAGCCAAGCTTTGGTCCAATCTGTAGGTAAACATTCCTTTTTTAAAGTCAGTTTGTCACAATATGCACAGAGCCACTTTCTCCATATCACTCTTAAATACATCCAAGAAGTTCCAGGTGTGTTGCCATTAAAAGCAAAAAATCAGATAGATTAATCAAGGAATGGAAGCCTATAGACATGGTGTTGATAGTTTGTTGTGTGTTCATTGTACGTTCATTTGCTAGATGGTTCATGTATTTCATATTTTCTTACGGCAGCGAGCAATTTTCCAATTGAACATAGCCACTGTTCTGCATGTGGGTTTATTAGGGAGAGGTGGTTGGAAAACTGCAAAAAACCACCCCCACCCCATAACCCTTAATATGCTGTTGTTGAGAATGTTGTGCTTTTATAGGCATACCAAGACCAAGAAGAATGGTATTCTAGTGCTCACCACTTAATTTAATTTGTTTTAAATAAATCCTTATTCATTCTTGAAGATTAATGAAAAAATGTCAGAAAAAAGAACATTCTAATAATTTTTACACCATCTTTTTCATGTTCTTCATTTCTGTCTGGTTGAGTTATTTCAGTAAACGCTACCCAGATATGATTAGATGTTCCTTGAGCTATCATTCATCACAGTATGAGATTTATCTGCCTCTTTTATTTTTTTAACATTCTTAATGGTTCTTTCAATACTCTTGGCTTATACACTTCATTTCTGGCTGCTGATCACTTGAATAGGTGCCTTTGCTCCAATATCAATTGGTAATAATTCTTACAGGCATTTTATTTATATTTTTTAATATAACTCTTCAAAGTTTACAATTTTTTTATGAGTGCCAGAATGAGCAGTAAATGTATTGCTTCCAATAGCAAGAAAAAATACCACCTGCTTACAAAGAACCATCTGCTGAGCTCATAGCAGCAGGGATGGTGACACAAAGATGTGCAGTACATGAAGAAAGCCTGGGAAGCAAATTATATCCCTCTTTAAGAATTTGAGCATATTAATAACCAAGATTGACGACTATAAAGAGTGCTTCATCTCTAAAACTGGAGCAACATATGCAGATCAATATGCTGTAAACCAGGTACATTAACGGCTCAGGGAAATAATGGGAAAAATATCATCCTGGCCATTTCCAGTCCCAAACATGACCTAACAACTCTCCTTCATACCCCTGCAGAAATTATCTTCCTTTGTGCTCTGAGATCCTGACGCTGCTGGGGCAGCTGAGCCTCTGAAAAAAAGCAAGCACAAAACAGTAATCTGAAGAAAAGAGCCAACCACATTGTGTCATTCCTCTTCATCACATAGCTGAACAAAATGGTCAGGGAAATAGTAGAGGTAAAAACCATACATGATGCCTTCTATACAAAAAGAGGCTTAATATGATGATAAACTGAGAATACAGCTAGCAAATGTTGCTATGTAATATTGGAGAGTGGTTTCATCAAGGATTTGGGCAAGAAACAGAAGACTAGGAGAATCTTGAGAAAGTCAGCATGAGGAGGGACCAGAGACTTTCTTGGGCACTAGTGACATGAAAGAACATAGATCTCACCTGGCCTGCCTGAGGACTCCTGCGGCGCAGAGTGAAGAGGGTAAAACAACAGCACCGTCAGGGACATTACAGTTGAGAGGGGTTGTGGCAGCCTCCCAGAAGGCAAGTCAAGTGTGTGAGAAAAAGCTCAACCAATATTCTTGTCTGGTGAGCTGATGAAAAGGAATAATAGGAAGGGGAGAGGCAGTAAGAGTGAAGTAAGTAAGAAAAAGGAAGAAAGGCAGATAGAAGCAGACACAACTAAAGTTTATTTTTACTGTATTGCATTGTTATCTGATCATGAATGAGGACCTCATTGTACTACATCCTGTACAAATGCAACTCAGAATAAAATGATTCCTCCTGAAACCAGCAGTATCTCATCAGAAGCTTGAAATAACTACCACTGTTCCAGGAATATATGCAAAGTGTCAAAACAGGCAGCAACTGTTCATGCTGCTTAGAGTATACAGCATGTTTCCTTGGCTCAATTAATTACATGCTCCCCCAGTGGCTTTTTGGGTGCAGCTTTTTTGCCTGGGTCTTTATGGAATCTGAACAAGTAACAAAATGAATAACAGCCTGAGACCTTCAAAAGCGCCAGAAGTTCTTGTGAGAATCAGACACCTGCCTTCTTCAGGCAGCTCTGGAGATTCCTGGCACACACTTCTGAGGGAAGAACAGATGCATTCAGGCATGTTTGCTTGCTTGGTACAATATTTTCATTTCTCTTTACGTGGAAAGTCAGATTCTCTTCGAAATACACATATAGACAGTATACAAAGAGAGAGAAAAATACATTTTTGTACTTCTAAAAATTACCTGAAATAGAAACCGTACACCATGGTTTACAAACGTCAGTATTTGAGGTCAATGAGCAAGTTACACACAGGTAAAGCACCAAATTCACATTAGGATTGGACACTGCTCTCCAAAGTTGGACGTGATGATGTTTCACATGGTCCCAAGGGGATCTGTGAACCGCAGATCACCCAGGACACTCACTTTAAGACTGGAGAAGTGGCTCTTCTGTCTTTCTTATTCTGCCAAGTCTATTCCTAGCTCAGTCATCAGACTTTAACCTAGGAGTGGTTCTGACTCATATAATTTGTTTAAAACATTAATAAAGTGAATCACACAAAGGCTGATCTCAGTCACTGAAGTAATGAAAAGGTTTCAATGGGGAACATTTTGTGCCTTGTGCCTCCCTTTATTTATTTCTGCATTCAAAGTGGTACCAGGGATGCATTTTTGTTTAAAAAGCAGATAAGGAAACATCAAAGTACTTTGACCTGTTTCAAAAATAGCTATGCAACTCCAACTGAACAGCTAGACATTCAGCTGGAGAACAGGTTGGCCTCAGGCCTGTCCCTGTTCCTCTTTCACTCCTGGAGATGCAACTAACTCAGCTGAAGACAAAACTTCTTAGAATAGCAGTCTCCTAAATGATAGTCTTCAGGAGTCTCCCTTGTGAAAATAATTAGCTTTCAGAATTAGTTTTGGTCCTTAACTGAGCCTCATTGACTTTATCTGCTTCATTTGCAGAATTAAGCATGATGTGCAAAAATAATTCAGTAATAGAAACCATTCTTCATGTATCATTTTTCATCAAAGAACACATAATGAATAATAATAACAGATAATTTGTAAAGGAAAAAAAGAGATTCCAATTTAAAAATGGAACAAAACAAAAATTAATTTGGCTTCTATTAGCATTTTGGCAGAATTAGGAGTGTGAAAGAATCATGTGCACCAAGAAACAGAATTATTACTCAGAAGGGCATTTTCCCATACCTTCATTGAATTTTGAAACCTCTGGTGTAAATTGGTTTAGACTAATTGAATGTGATTCCACTGTGCCAGTACGTACTAGCTAAGAATCTAGATAATTTTATAGATACTGTGTAAGGATCTCAACTAATGAGTGCTACACTTCAATTCATTGAGTAAATCAATAAACTGCTAAGGGAAAAACTATGTGCATTGATTGGTAGGAAGCAACTTGAACCAGCATTACAAAACTGAATCAGGAGCCAGGGCAAATGTGGATTACTTTAAACTGTGCCACTCGCCCTGTATAACCTTGGTTACTCTAAAGCTTGCTTGTCTTAGCACTGAAAGGAGCATAATCACTGACTTAACAGGGTCCAACAGGAATTCTTGAGATCTTTTAATGAAAGATGCTAAATTCAAGCTGCCACTAGTATCCAGAGATATCATGAAAGCACAAGGCAGAGGACATTCCTGTGGTTACTCTGGGACAAGAACTGACCAGAAGATACAAACCCAGAGAGAACCTGGACATAAAAGCCAGGATCCACTTTAGATGAACAACGGTGACCAGAAAGAGTCCTGAGAATCAAGGACTGCTTTGCGTACTGAGCAAACGATGAGAAGGCAAGAGGGCTAATAGTCACATAGCAGGAGTTAAAGATATTAAGACCAGATAAATAGAGAGCCTCTTCTATAGCACACAAGCAGCTGATTAAGAACAGCTGGCTAAGGGAAAAAACCCTTGATACAAAGTCTTCTGGTTCATATTATTACATTCTCTCCCCACTTGCCTTTACTTCTTACTGGTCCAACCCTCTCTAAGCACCCAGTGGAAGACTTGGAGAATGCCACTCTCCAAAGTGTTAATTTTTCCAGAGGTATTTAAAATCTCCTCAGTTTATCACTGCCCATTTGATATTCAGTCATCCATGTCATTTCCCATCTCTTTGGCTGGATAAAGATACTGGCCACAGCTGCAACATGTTGAGCACACTTGGCTACTAACCAGCTGGTGTTGCCATTTGCCAAAGGCTCCATCATGCTTGCTATATTGCTGATAGTTCTTTTCAGAGAAAAGATTAATGGCCTCAAATGCCATTAACTAGTTGCTCCTACATCTATTTTACTTTCTGGTTTTACGGTTATTTTGAATAGGCCAGGTAGAAGCATGCAAATGGACAACTAAAGGGAAACACATGAAAACACTGAAACCTTTACTTGATATGAAAACATCACTTGTTTTCATATCTCATGTATCTTCTGCTTACACCTCATTTGACTAATAGCAGACACATCTGCTATGTTTGACAAACTCCACTAGTAAATAATGTGGAGAGAAGATAATTTGTGAAATGCATAAATAAAAAGATAACCATTCAGAATCTTCTTATTGAGTAAAATCATATGCTGATATAAATTGAGTAACTGTATCTGTGTATCACTGCCCTCTGCTGAATTGTATCTTCCTACCACACATTCATTTCGAATTGGATCAGTGCTAAAAATTATTCAAAAATTACTTGAAATGCTACTAATTAAAGGTCAGCCCTTCACTGAAGAGAAATAATTCAGTGCTTTTGAAGTGTCAGATCCGAATTCTGTAGTCATCACATTCACCAAGCCTGTCCATGAAGATGGTGTAGCAACTCCATGCCAGCCCAAGTGGCCAATGGCAATTCTGGGTGGCTTTTTTTGCAAGATTTGGGATACTTTAGTGGTGTTGCAGTGACAACATGAAATCAGAACAACGTTTCACAACTGCCAATTATTTCTCTGTTTTCAAGCAGGTTGGTAGTCTGTCCTCCATTATTGTGAAATAAAGCAAGAGAACCAAGTGATCCAATTAAAAAAAAACAAAAGCAAAGTCACAACATTCTGGTCATAAATACAAGATTTTGTGAATATGCAAAATGTTTTTGGATTCTGCAGGATGAAAAGGTCTTTTGATTTTTATGAAGCTGTGAAGAATAAGTTTACACTGAGTACAGAAAATGGAGTGGATCAAACAATCTGAGGTCTTCAGAAATTCTATACTTATGTATTAGATGCAATTTTCCCATGTTGCACATTGAGAAAACTGTTACTGTACCCAACAATTCATGGCTTACTGTGTTTAGAATTATAAAATATGAGTAGCACAGGGTAGTATCATAGACTTTGACAAATAGAAAACTAAGACCTAGATTTCCAAGAGACAGTGGATTTCTGGCTGCCTCTGAAATCAATGGGAATTATGTACCTAGAGACTACAGAGTGGCTGGACAGAGAGACCCAAAGGTATGCTTAAAAAGCCAAATAAATATGTACCAGATAAAAACAGATCAGCTTCATCTGCCTCAAGGGGAAACAGCAAGAAAGTAAGCCCCCCATGATCATTAGGTGTGTATCAGATTTACTGGTAAATGCAAAAGTCTGAAATGACATATACTCTTCATTGTTACCCATGGCAGAATAACGGCCTAGCTCAGGTGATGAAACACAGCTCGGTTAAGCAAGTTGCCCAAAAACCTCACAGGTGCTCTGTGAAAGACATGGCCTGCAGCAACTTCAGGAGTTTCATTTAGGGAGATGTAGTGTGAATCCCCTCTTCAGCTACTGTTTCTATCACTTTTCCCTTCCTCCCACTCCATCAGCTGTCCTTAGCCGTGATTGTTCTACCTAACAAAAGTTAGCATGCACCACCCACATGATTTACATGGTTTCTCCCTTTCAAACCCAGGTTGGATGAGCCGAACATCAGGACCACAGAGTGTCCCTTGCTTCTGTTCTGGTACCTGCCATGTGAATATGGTGGATTCAGGGCTGTATCACTACGTCCATGTCATATGACTGCAAGTATACATGCCGACTTTAGGAGGCTCTAATAGCAAGGGAAGAGAAGGAGGGGGCTATAGCCCACTTCATTCTCCTGGTGAATCTGTGCCTACAGAGTGCATGGTGGGTTTCGTGCCCTTCTGTGGTATTTCACTCAGTTTCACCAACTTTTGATTTTGAGAACAAGTTAGGTTTTCCTCCCTTGAGTACTGAAACAAGGGCTTTTGCAGAATAGAACCATCAATTTATGTAACTCCTTTCCACCTGATCTATTCTGACTGCAAGTTTTCCAGGGACAGGAACTCTTTGTCACTGTGTCTCTGGACAGGCTCACCATGAGTCTCAGGTTCGGAGAGTAGCTTCCACATGTGATATGACACCATGAAAAGAGGAATCTATATAATTAAGTGCTTCCTTAAGAAACCTTATTCCATTGCAGTGTTTGTGCAAACTATTTCAATTTTTGTTCCTGTATACTTTGAAGTTTCTCTTCCAAATTAGAAAAAATCATCCAGAACTATAACTCCTTTGGGCGTGCACCTGCAAACACACAAACTCACATACATGCCTTTGAATAGCTTGTTGCTTGCTCATAAACACAAAGAAGAATTCTGTTCCTACCAGAAAAGAACACTATACATCATAAAGTATCTAAGAAGCAACTTAAGCTGTCATCAGCAAAAACATCTGCTCCCATTACTCATCCCAGTGACTTCAGGCACAGGGAGAAGCTGTTGAATGGGCTCTGGAACACTTTGGAAAAGGGACAGCGAAGGATCACAGGCCAAATGGATGACAAAACAGGAACAGTATCAGAATGCGCATCAGAGCTGAGAGCAGAAACACCTTTTGGGGCCCTCCTTAGGCAATTCCCACTGAAAACAATGCCATTTTCTACTGGAGTAACTAGGAAGGGGAATGCAGTACCCGCAGACTAATAAGAAAAACATTCTGATCATCCTGATGGGAGCAGGGAAGATACTTCTCCACAAGAAACAGCTGACTGCAAATGGCAAATAGGTTCTCTCTCTTCGAAGGCTACCACTTGGACCCTGCAGGATGCCAGAGAAGTTACTGCCATCCCACTGAAAATGACATTTCTTCTTGTCCATAAAATGGGTCATGAGAGCACTATCAGGGCTTCCTTTCTCCACAGCCACAGAGACTCCATTTTTACAGGAGGAAAAAGGAAAGGGACAAAGAGAGGGAGTAATGGGCAAAACACAATAAGCTGTTGAGTGTCGGAGGGGAGCTGGGTCAGATGTAAATTTGAAAGTTTATGGACTGGCTTTCTTGCCAATTCATGATGGAGGAAAGGACAAGGGGGATGAAGGAGAAAAGGGAGGAAAGGTTTTGCAGAGCAGTAAATCATTATCTTTTCTGTTTATTACATGGGTGGTGAAAATTGCAGAGGAGAGTCATTTGTCAAAAAAAGATGATGGCTAAGGATGCTGAGCAAGGGAAAACTTAAGAATATCTGTGACCTAGTGGTTTGAGGCCCACAGCTAAGTTAACAAGGCTGTAAGAGGCAATAACAAATCAGGCAGATGAAAAGGTTATTGGAAAAGAAGAATACAAGAAGAGGAAGATACTGTTGATACATGCACTGATGGGAAGACTTCACTCATTCACAAATTGAGGGGCAAATTCGAAGAGAAATGCTAAACCCCTTGTGCCATCCAGTAGAGTAGCAGGCATCCAGTGATGCTGAGGATTTCACCATAGCACTGATGCTGATATTTGTGAGCTGATGACACCCTCTACCCCAATGCTCATATAGCCCATACTAGCATGGGGTATGTCTGCTTGAGCCATGGACGTGTTGTATAGAGAGGCAGAGGTACAGTGGTGATTCACTCAGGGCTAGTTATCTTTGCCCCTGGAATCTGAGGTAATAAGCTGAGATATATTTCAGGATTTTTGCCCAGTACAGTGTTTTATCTTTTAGTCACAATCACACTAAGCCCACTTGGTAGGCAGGACCTTTTGGGTCTGCAGGGAGATATAGTCCTCCAGTTGTCATAACTTGCTTCAGCCTTGCACAGAGAACACAATCCATAGTGGTTGAACCCCACTGCCAGCACCAGGAAGAAGGCAGGCAAATAATCCAACCCCATCTTTGCGCCGTAAAGTAATGAAGTTCTGACCTGCCCAGGTCTACTACCCAGCTCCGTCCTCCAGTGCTTTCATAAACTTTGCCTCATAAACTTTCCTTTATGAGGCTACTCCAGCTCATTTTGGTAGTAATCATCCCCTAAATCCTTCCTGCTTTCTTCCTACTTTCATGAAGTAGAACAGAACTTCTTAGGGAGACAGATGACATCATACAAATTTATGCCAATTTAACATTACTGAGGGAACCCAAATGGGAGTCTCAACTGCTAAATACAGCTCCAAAGCCTGTTTCCAGTGTGTGGGAGAAAAAAAACCAAACAAACACACAAACACAAATCCACCAAAACCAACAAAAAAACCCCAAAGAGGATGTACAATGTACCATAGTAATTGTTTAGACCCCGAATCAGACGCGTTTGTGTCACAATTATTTGTTCTAAACTGTCTTAGAAAAGCCACATATACATAGACACAAATGCACAAACATACACTTCTCCAAGTAACGGACACAATACCTGCTCTAGGTCGGCTGCTGCTCTTTTATTTTCTCCTGTTGCATCTTGATATGGTAAAATGAAGAGTTCAGCAGATGTAGGCAGACCAGGGAGCACTGCGACCAGAATATGCTTGCTTGAAATACCTGTTGCCTGATACATAGACAAATAATGGACAGATAAACAGTGGAGATGGCACTGAATGCTGAGAGCTTCTCCGCTAAGGCATCACAGTACTTACACAAATGATGTAGGGTATATTTGGTACAACAGACAACAGGGATAATCTTGTTAAAATTAACTGCAGGCAAAAAGTCAGTGATTAGTAATTTCCTGATCTAAGCTATTTTACCATGTTCTCCAGTAAAATATGCAGAGTCCTAAGGCAACAGTGATAATCAGACATGCTAAAAGGAGCTCCTATATAACAGTTGCATATGGTATGATTTGCTTTGTATGAGTTTAGTTATTTTTAAGTTACCTGATTATCCCAAGTTAGTCCCTGAGGTTGTCCATTTAGTCAATGGTAAGAAGCCACATGTTAAAGGACAAGGTATGTGGGCAGAATTGCACTCTAGAGGTGTGACTAGCAAAACATCTTAAAAGCCTTGTGGAGACTCAGAGACAGAGAAGATGATCAATCAAGTTTGAATCCCCAAAGCCAAGCAAATTCTTATCGTTCACATCCTGGGTCAATCCCACAAGTTAATGAGCACCTTTTTTTTTTTTTTTTCTTTTCAGGTGTTAAAGATTGTATTAATTTGCAAATTTTTTTTTGTCTTGTTCGCTGAAAATCTTAAGCAACCAGTTAAAACTCAAATCTCTTTTCAACACAAATTAGCCAAAATTCAGAAAAAAAGTACCCCACAGACATCACTACCAGGATCATCTCTGGTCATGGGTTTCAGCTGCTGTTACCATGACATTACACAATGAGACTAGAGTTATTCTCCAGAAAAGGAGCTAGTTTATCCTTCAGGAAGTTTTATCAGCCAAAAGAAGGAGAAACATAGTTTGCTGAAGCTTCCTCCATTGCCTCTTTGCGTTGCGGATCATCCAGCAAATGCATTTAAAACGGAAAGTTTTGATTTAAACCTTAAGTTTCCAAGTGCTGAATTTAGTAGGTCACTTTTAAATGGAAATTTAAAAAGTGCCTTCAGATATAAGGACAGACCACAGCAGCTGGATGCAGCACAGAGATTCCCCTGCAGTCAGGACTTGCAGCCCTCTCAGACACTAATTAGACCTAAAACTCATGAATTCTTCTCCCTAGTAATTCAAGAGCAAAGACTTGGAGCAGCTGCTCATTGAAGGAAATGACAGATGGAGGACAAAGTGTTAGCAAAACTGATTACAAATCACCATTACCTGAGCAAATTCTGTGGCTATCCCACGTGTGACTGCTGACAATCCAGGGAATATCCCTGTGGAGCTATGAAAAGAGAACCCTTCCCCTCCACTGCACACCGAGGAAAAGCATGTAGTTTTGTTGCTGTCGGGATTTTTTAATGTGGATTTAGAAAAAAAACTATAACAATATAAAGGTCTCATATATTCTTTCCAAGTATTCTGTGAAGCCAGGGCTTGCATTATTTGTGCTTGCCTAACAGGTTGTCCTAAGATGTCCAGAAAAAGACACAGTATTACCAGCTAATGGAAAGTCTTTATTTACAGAGACTGGGAATGATTTTTTTTGTCTGGAAGCTTTTGGATGATCTACTCAGTTCGTTCTTGTCTTCTTCATCAAAAGTGGGAGACAGGACTCAGAAAATCAATGACACCAGCAAATAATTATGATCATAATACAAAATAGGATATTTTGAGATAATATGAAATTATCCCTACTTAGATCAGATTTTAGTAGAGAACTATAATATCTCATGCAGAATTTTTATCCAAGCCTATGATACTCTGTAATAAAAATGTAATACCTTAATAAAAGTTCATAAAAATTCTACAGCACAGCTATACTTTCCTATTGAATTATTTAGTTGTTCAAATCATTTTTATACAGTTTATTTAATTACTGTAGAAATCTATTGGTTTTATCTTTAATTTTTACAGGAACTTCTCACAAAGGCTTGTTTAAGGTGAATCATTTAGCTCTATAAAAAGGGATAATTAGCTATCTTTTTTTTTTTTTCACTCAAAAAAAGACTGTGTTTTCACTACTCTGCTTTTGGAATGTAGCCTTGATACTGTAGTTTTATAATTTTTTTTTATGGCTTGATTTTGTTTTATTGAGTTGTTTATATTCTGAAAATTCATCCTGAAGATAAAGGGATCCTTGAATACTAGATACAGACATAAATAAGTCAGAAGAACAAGCTCCAGGACAATGTTTGGGGTTTTTTTTCTTTTCCTTTCCCCCTCTCCTCCTGTCTTTTGAGGAAATTGAAGAAAAAAATCTCAAAGCAATCCAGACATGTTTGTGTGCACCTGATTAGTGCACTGTGTCTTTCCAGTCTTTTTGCACAGACGATGCCACAAATGAACATATAAGCTTGCTAATAACACCTACAAGCCTTGTATCCTTTCAAAATCTGAGTACTGTTATTTAAAAAAATGCAGAAACCCCGTTTCAAATAGTTCCTTTTACTATTTTTCCACTGAGCTGCGAAATCCCAGCTGTCTCTTCTAACTTCTCTCAGCCTCTTAGTTTGAAATCCAAATCTTCAGCCACACAAGAATATTTTTATGATGTTCTGTTCCACAGTTAAAGAAGGAACTTCAGAGCTTCTCTGTAGTGTTGACAGGAAAAACATCATCCAATCCTCATCCATGAACCTCATGCTATGTGAAAGACATAAAGCACTTACTGTGGTGCTCTTCTTTGTAGTAAAAATTGTTTTCCTTTTGGTCTCCTAAGTTTCCTACAGCATATTTTTAATTCCATTAGAATAGCACTATTTTACATTGCTGTATAACTATAGCAGTAAAAGAAGTAAGAATTGCTATGCAGCAGTAAAGACATTTGTACAGCTATAGGCAGGTATAAGTACTTTGTTTTCTATATGGTCTTTTCTCAGAAATATTCCACATAACCCACTGTCATTAAAAAGAACAAACTGAAGGCTACCTCTGAGCACCAGATTGTCATAGAATGGGACAATTTCAGCTGTCTAAAATTTAGGATTCTAGCCTCAGACACTAGTCTAGTCTTTTATAGTTGGTAGAGAGACACCTTGAGAGAACAGCTGATCCAGTCCTAATGTAGGCACAAAGCAGAAATTAGAACCATTGTTACACAGGTTATGCACATTGCTTACCTCCACCAGAGCTCTCTTGACTACTCTACTGATGTCCCTTCTCCACTCTGGGATATCTGGGTTGTAGTCATCCAGGTTTGGAGAGAATGATAACCGCAGGGACTGAAATTGCTCTGGAGATACAATGACATAGTGGTGAGTAAAGACTGTGAAATGCCTTAATGCCAAACGAGTGGGCAGAATCTAGTGAAACCTGCTACAGCTCATGTTTTGCTTAATCAATCTGCAGGTGATGCACAGACTGTCAGAGAATCCAGCAGTGTGTCTGAGAGATTCACTGAGAGATTCGGAGAATCTGAGAGATTCACTGCTCTAGTGTCATGGAACCAAAAAAGGTGATCAGTCCTTACTTCAATGGATGAATAGCACTGGAAAGGAAGCTGTGTTGGGGACATAAATGAAATGCTACCTTAATCTTGACTTCTGAAGCAGGCAAGCCCTGTGAAAGAAGCTGTGATTGTACTCTCATAGACACATCCCAAACATTTGAAATCTTAACTGGAAGGGGACAGGGATAAAGGTGGGGAGAGGACGAGCCTCAGAAAATGTACTTCTTAATCTCTGCTGCTGTTAATAGAGATGCCCACATTGTTCCCTGTGACCATGTGCTTAGTATAAACAGCTAAAACTTGGATTCCCAGTGGTTCTTAGGCTCCATCTACACTATATGATATTTGTATTTCCTAACTGTTTTTGAGGTCTGAGTACAATATCAAATCAGTACAGATTTCTGTACAGAACTGCAGCTCACAGCATCGACTTATCTTTCGAGTTAAGCAGCTTTTGCATGAGTGAAGAGGCCTCTACTGGCCAAGAAGGAAGAAAACCAGCTCGCAAAACAACCTAACATTTTGACAATCGTGTAGGATGACCAAATAGTGATAGAGCAGATGCAGAGGGCTCTGGGAAGGAGATCATTGTTCTGTAATCATCTCAGTCTGGACTAATGTCAGTCAGCAGCCTTCAGAGTTGTTATGCTGAACTGATAACACTGGAACTGAGTTTATAATCTCACTCAAAGCATCCTGGAATAAAGACTTCATGTTGCTGCCAGCTAACCTGGCTCTCTAGCTCTTGTCTATGGAGAATCCTATGTGAGATGAAGGGGGAAGAGCTCACCATACACAGCAATAGTCTTTGTGTCCTGAAGAATGGTGTTTCCTGCTGAGACCTGAACGGTGATGGTGTTCATCCCTTCCACAGAAAATGTGAATGCGATGCTCCCTTCCAATGTGATCAGTGGCTGCAAATATATCAGAAAAGGAGAAATTAAGTTAATTTGGCTGGAAAGGAAAAGTAAACGTTAGTTTGGCTCTCTAGCCTGTTGGGATGGTTTGGGGAGTTAGTTCCAGCTTGGAAACTTAAGACTTAGAAGGGGTCCTGTAACATGGAAGCCAATTTTCTGGAGAGGACCCAGGGATCCAGATGGGGATGTCCTCATGAAGCTCAGAGTAAGGTAACTATAATTTCTAAAGGAGCTAAGTTTTAAGATCCCGGTATTTCCTTCCCACTTAGGATGCTGGCTGTTCTGGATCCGATGTTAAAGTGTCCGTCTTTGCTGCACTTCCCAGAGAGGCCCAGATCCTAATACAAGGGTCCACATAACTCACTGTTCAGGTGTAACACTCCTTTCCCAGATCTAGCTGCAAGTGATTTGTTTAAGGTGACTCAAGGAGGTTGTGACAGAACCAGGAGGCAAACTAAGATTTCTCAGTTGTTCTCCCACATTATCCTTAGACATGGAGATGTCATTTTTGGAAAGTGATGGTGTTTAGAGAGGACACAGATCCCCTCAGCTTGCTTCACTTTGCAACTAGTTTATCAATGATTTGTCTCCCCTTTCAGCAGTCTCTGCCCTAACTTCTGTTTTTGCTTATTAATGAACTCTGAGTGAGATCTTCAAAGCACCCAGTATTAAGTCAAACTCTGTTGCCATTGTAGTCTGTAGTAAAACTCGCACTTCAATGAGAACAGAGTTAGACCAACTCTGATCACTTATGAGCTTAGCAGATCAGAGGGAAGGTTAAAAGGTGACAATCACAGCCTGTAAGTACCTCTAGGGAGAGATGATTTCTGATAGTACAGAGAGTTCTTTAATCTACACACAAAGGCATAACAAGATCCAACAGCTTGAAACCGAAGCTAGATAAATTCAGACTACAAACGCAGTGCATGTGTTCAATGCTCAGGATAATGAGCTGTGGGGAAATAGTTGGGGGAGAGGGTAAGAAAGAGCAGCAGTGAATTCTCAGAATCATCTGAGGAAAATTATTAACGCAAAACAACAAAAAAAAAGTCAGATTCTGCCTTAATCACAAAGAGTTAAATAAAGCAGAAGGTACTGATGAAACCCTCCAACCTGCATTATACAGAAGATAACTGTGTGAGTGGTTCAGGGTCTCTCCTGGCTCTACAAAACCCATGAGAATCTCTCCCCTCAGAAACTAACTGGGGTCTCTGGGTATTACAGCCACAAAATAACAGTTATAATGCCTGTGCAGATTTATGAACACTGCAAACATAGAGGCAGCAGAATGTGGTGCATGCTGTACTCACGTCTGAGCAGAGCCCAGAGGCAGGGCGGCATGTTGGGAAACATTTTATCCACCAGTAGCACAGGATGATAAGGTCTTCTTACACATGTGGTTTAGCATAGAGTGTGAGGGCTCAGGATTGGGCTCAGTATATTTAAAGGGAGGCACAGGACTGATGGCAGTCTCTTCCCTTGTTAGTCACCAGAGAAATGAGGTTTCAACCCTAGGGCTATGTAAAGTCAGTTCCAGATATAAAAATAGCTTCAGTTTTAAAGGTTAGTTTCCTAAAAAAACCCCAGAACTTCTAGGTCTTTTCATTGTTGTTACTGAAGAAGGGAGTGTGGGGAAAAACACACTAGAAACTTTCAGATTTTGGTTCACTATGTCCACCTTAGAGGTAAATGCAGGGAGAAAGCTATTGGCAATTTGTATGAAGGAGCTATAAACCCTACAGCTAAGTCACAACAAACACAAAGCAGTTCTTACATTTCAACGTTGTTATGTCAAAGAACCATTAGTGTCTCGGTCTCTGGTTTATAATTTTCTTGCGTGTGTGACTATTTAGAAGCATTCCCAGATCCCTCTCTCTCCCTCCCTCAGTGAGAGAGCTCCTCCAGGTTTATATTTATCACATTCCATAGGGAATACAAACCTCCGTGTTGTTCCCAAACCACCAGACATAAGTAAGTGTTCCCACTTGGCTAGGCCACAGTACTGCCGTGGCATTGACCTCCTTGTTCTTTGTGGTGACGAATGGTAGAGATAAGTGAACATATTCCAAGGGGCCTGCAGAGACAGAAGCAGCAGTTGAGTCCTCCCTCCATCTGAAATGTCAACCTGGGGGAGAATGGAACTGAGGGATATCCACTAGTTTAGGGGAGAGGTCATCCAAAGCACGACAGTTAATGTTTCAGCTTCGTGTCATTTCTAGAGAGGCAACCTTAAATCTGTTCCTCATAGAACAGGAGCTACCCTGTACCTGGAGCTGAAAAACTCAAGACTCTCTACTGCAGGAATGTCATATACTCAGGGACTTTATATACAAATTAAACAACAGGGACAGAGACCTGTTATGTGAATATGGCCCTCACTGGGAAGACATAAGAATGTGCAGGACAAATGGCTTCAGCGGACATGAAGTATCTCTGCTCATACAAACTGCTATGATTTGGTGAACTTCAGCAATGGTGTATCTATTCATATTGGCTGAAACTCTGTCTGAAGGCAGCTATTCACTGAGTGCCTTCATTTTAATGTTACCTTATACTTCTTCCTTTTCCTCAATAAACTCTTTTATTTCTTTAGTATAAACAGAACATAATTCATTCGACAAGTGACATTATGCCCAGGGTTACACATTTCCCATCCTCTGGAGACAGATGGGCTTTTGTTGTTACATCTTGTCCTATAGATTATTTTTTAAAATGTGTTCTGACGGTTCACTCAGAGAACAAAGCAACTGTCCTGAGAGTGACAGAGAAAGAAAAAGAAAGAAACTCCAGGTGACATGGGGACATGGGTTTCTTAAATTAAGGACACATCTACATGTCCTACATCTGCAAGCTCCCCAGTGATGAGAAGCAGAGACCCCAGCCTGGGAGGAGTGATTGCATTGTCCACATGGAGTTGAGATACATTGCTAGAAGATTTTATATATTTCAGGAGAGGATTTTTCAGGACATATCCCATACACATATCATCACTTGGACCTTGCTTTTCAACCTAAAGGAACACCATGCATTTTGGAGCGAGCAAGTACCCTGTACCCCTATACAGCACATGTAGGGAGAGAGAGGGAGAGAGATATATAAAAATTCTCCCAAATCATACTATATAAACAATGCCAGAATAAACAAGGACCAGTGTTCCTGACTTATTACTGAAATGCAGCTTTCTCTCAGCTGTAGACACAGCCACTGCTTAACCTGAAGCAGCCCAATTAAGAGTTATCCATGATCAAACTAAATAAAGCCTGCTATAGATCAGACTATGGCTCATTTTTCCTTTTATAATCAGCAGTCAACACTCTTCTTGAAAATTCATGAGAAGCCAGAATTTCATGCTGATGATTTTAATGGCATTCTCCTGCTCAGATACATTTCCATGCTCAGGCCGTGCCTGCTTTCAGTAAGATCCTGAGACCTGAATAACAGCAGCTTCCCAGGCTAAATATTTTGCACCTCTGGCATCCTTTGGGATGTTTGCCAAATGGCCAATGTTAGCACAGCCCTCTAAAGGAATACATTTCCTAACACTGGATGCAGTGACAGCAGTGAGAATGGAGCCCATGTAAAGTCTAATACACTCCAACATAACTGCATAGCTGCTCTGAATACATCTCAAATGATCCTGCACTGCAGAGAGCGCCCAGCACCTCCTTGGACCTCCACCATATCCTGGCTAGGAAAGAATATGAAAGAATGACTCCAGCAAGCCAATACTGCCTGAGTATTTCTGTGCACAAAGATGATGGGTCAAAGTGGCTGAAATGCTGAACTATTATGTGGCCAGTAGATGGGGATAGCTCACTCTGGATAGGCCCTTCGCTTAGTAGGAGACTGCTTTCTCCCAGGTAAGTTTGAAAAGAATCCAAAAGAATTCATTTCCGAGCTTCATGCACGGCCATGGGGACTACAGACCTTTGCCTGCCTCAGGAAAAAAACTGTGTACAAGTCCCAGACAACAGAAAGGGAGAAGCTTCTCAAAAGGTTCACTTGGGCAGGTGATGTTATTCTGAAGCATTCAGGCAAATGCATAACTAACTTTCCAGGGGAAAATTTTAACCTGTCATGACAGTTCAGAGACAGTCTGTTGGCTGGAGAAGTTTATATACAATTTACTGTCCATCCACCCCAAAATACTCCTGCCTCACAATAACCTGCATTTCTGGATCCCTGGACCAACCTCAGCAAAGGCACTGCTATCATGCACTGGCCCCACTGCTGCAGCAGGATGAGGAGAGCACAGGACGGAGGTTTTACTCTTAGCTTTGAGACCACAACCACCATGGTTCAGTGCCTGCAGTCTTCCCCTAAGCAAGGCTGCTGGCCACGGGTAGGGATGGGTGTTGGAAGGCCCAGATCTGGCTGCACATACTCATGCATTAACAAGGGGTCATCCAGTTAGTAGCCCTTCCTAAAACTCTCTGGATGTTCAGGCTGCACACTGCTTTTCTGTGGATCTTAACAATACAGCGTGTGTGTGTCTGTTGTAAGGACAGATATTTTTAGAAAACTCCCCAAAGGCCAAGTTCATGCATCCCAAGCAGAATACTCTGCAGAGAGCTGAGTGCCAATGCAAGCATTTAAATAGGATTTAGACGCTTCTGTGGATCTGGGTGTTAGGGTCTGGAAGGGACTGGATTTATTGTACATCTCTGTTCTCAGCAAATATATTGCTAGTCTGAGTAGCACCATACTCAGTTTGCAACCCGTTTTAAAGTCCCTAATTCTTGTCATGTAGAGAAAGATGAAACATATCCTTTAGAGCTGTCACTTCTCCAGGGGTTCAGGCACATATAATCTGGGTCTGCCTGTAATGATCACACAGTATTTAAGTCCTATGCTGGTATGATCTATGCAAAACACAGACACACAGTCTACCAGCTGCTAAGTCACACAAATGTATCTGAACATTGTTTATTTCTTGTACTGTTTAAACAACCAAAATGGTTCTTAACCCTTCAATGTCTCAAGAAAATCGATTAAAATAGTTATAAACTAGAAAGCCTCTATGAACGAGAGTGAAGGCTGGACATCTGTCAACCAAAAGTCTTTTTGAAGGGAGGCATTCAGGGAGATATTTGTTTCTGCTTCTCCAGTGTTCCCTCATAAACTTCCCATCTCCCACAGCTATACGTCCCACTTCTGCTATCTGTTGATAAGATGGTGCACCATTAAAGAGCTGTCGTCTTCCCCTGTAAGAGGCAGCTGCTTTCATGCTGTATGAAGTAACTCCAAAACTAGAGTCAAAGTGTATGGAATGTGCTAAATTATCTAGACAATATGTGGAGTTAATTTGGTAGACAGCAAGTGGTATTTCTTTAAGTGTAATTTTAAGTTTTGGAATTTCCTTTTTTTTAGTAAATCTGGCACAGAAGCACACAGTTGAAAACATACATAATCAAAAAAAACCTCCACTGTATAAATAAAATGACAGCCCCAAACAAACTCCATTAGGGTTGATATAAACTTTCAATAAGAGGCTAACCCTTTGGGTTCATAATCATGTGCTAGAATAAATATGAAAGAACACATTGCTGGTTTTATGCAAGGATTTGAGATACATTTCATTTGTATGACAGAGACAGCTGAAGTATAAAAAGGTTAAAAAGAACAGCAGAAGAGCAATGTGATGATAATATTTTTTCTTATAATACTCTTTAACACCAAGATTTTGGTTCCTATGACAACAGGAAGACTGAAATGCATTGGTTTCAATCCCAGAGGTGGTTGTATTTCATTAGAGGGCAAAACACATGTACAAAGTAAAAATCAAGGCTTTTAAAAGTGATTAAGGATCCCGCATGTCTTTATTTTTCTGGAATTGTAAACATGCTAATGAAGGTGCATTTCAGAAAGGGCTAGACACTCCTTTGAGGTGTCCCAAATTAGACTACCCAAAATTAGAGATGAACACGGTTTAAAGAGCAAATGTCACTATTGCCTGTGGCTCCTCTCAGTCTAGAGTTCTCTGCTGGAGAACAGACAAACATTCTTCATATCCCATCACTCTGCTCCCCGCTGCAAAGCCCCAAGTGTCATCTCTAAGGACAAGTAACAATTTTTTAAAGAACAACAGAAGCTAATAATGAGTATTAGTAACATACATACATGTTACATGCAGGTAAAGGACAGCATTGTCAGACCCCAGGCTGTTTTCCACCAGCACGGTCACTCGGAATATGCCCACGTTCTGGTAGATGTGCTTGATCCCATCTTCTGTTGAACTGAGATTGGCATATGACACAGTGATGCCATCTCCAAAATCCACCTGAATGAGGGATCTCAGGAGGTCTCCCTGTGGTGACAGAAAAGAGAAAGGGTCAGAATAGGCTCTGCTGTTCTTTTGAGAGACTGGATCAGTGGGGTGACCTAGACGAACCGGAGGATAGTCAAAAGGTCTGATGTTACCAGAGGAATGGTTGTCACTTCATCACCTTCCTCAGTAGTCAGTGGACAGAAAGTGACCCCCTCTTGAGGTTGACTCAGCTGCACCGTAAAGGAGATGTCCTCCAAGGTGTGTGCTGTAGCCCTGCTTTCCCAATCATCAGGAGGACTAGGGGATCTTCTGGAAAATATGCTGGCTCCTTCCCCTGGGTTTCCTTGTAGAGAAGAGTGGGGTTGTAGCAGGGAATGGTGCTCATCTCAGCAAGTGTTCAGGACATGGGTAGCTATTGAGATTGCCTCAAGAGTCTCTGGTATAACCCACATTATGAGCTTTTGTATTTAAAACCATAAAAAGCAGAAAGATAAAACAACTGAGAAGTCCTCAGGAAGGGTCAACTATATCAAAGTGGTGGGGTGCCAAAAGAACTGCTTCAGCCTCACATGATAACAGCAGCTTACAGCAGCTTATGACTTGCTGAGCAGCCTGATTTAAGATGAGCTGGATTTGTATTTATTTCAGAACAGCTACCAACACTACTGACATTAAGTGAGACCCTTTGTGCCTGCCTCGGAACGGAAGTGCTAATGAATTGACAGAGCTGATTAAACTCTTCTCCTCCTGCCTAGAGATAATCCCAGCAGAGTAGGTTTGTGGTGTAACTCAGACTGCCAAATTGTGACATTAGTCTTCTGGGCTGCTAATCTAGCACATTTCAGAATTGTTACAATAAATTACAATAAATAAATAAAAATCACAGCTGGGAAACAAACAAAGAAACAAACAAAACTCCACCACAAACCAAAAGCCAAGGATGTCAGGGATCTGTATTCTCCATGCCAGAACAGGGATTCGCTAATGTGAAAGAATCCTGAAACAGGTTTTAAACTTCCACCTCTGAAACTGAACTCCAGCTTGGTGCATGCAGCTTTGTCAAACTCTGTGTCAGAGTTACCCAATCCAAAAAGGCTTTTAAAACCCAAAAGAGGGGAGTGATGTCATTTTCTTATTCTGCTTTACAAACAAAAAGCAATTTTTAAATTTTTTTGGTTGCAAGCCTGTTTAAAAGACAGAAAAGTGAGTCATGCTTGCACACAAAAAAAAATCCATATAACCTATGTCACACACACTAGAAACACCTGTAAGATTTTCTCATATCACAAGGCATATGCCTATGGTAAGGGTTTCTGATAGCTGAATAGCTACACAGCCTACACTGACCTGTATAACAACTGTGGCTGCTATAGATCCTCTCCCTTTCAGGTAAGATGCAGTACCTTGTCTTAACTTTAGGCATTCTTACTCCTTTTGAAAGTCCCCCTCAGTGGCTCTGCATGGTGCTTATGCTGGGTATGTTCACGCTTGTGGGCTGTTGCTATGGAGTCGCTCACTCCACAGCCTGGTGCACTGGAGCAGCTGCCACTGACTGGAAGAAGGTTAGTAAATGAATAGCTGAAGGCAGTTCATAAAATTGGCTGAAAGGACATTTAATTTACTTTGGTTTGTTTTCCTTTTTTTTTTTTTTTTCCATTTGTTTGTTTGCTTTTCTTTTCCCTTTAGAGAGAAACAGTCCTCTGGATGCCCAACTGGAATGAAAGGTGCCCATGTAAATAGTTGGCATCAGGCAGGTTTCCACATCAGAAAAGGAAGTGTGTGTGACTATGGGAGGGAATTGTAACACAAGCTTTATATTCCTCATGTTCTCTCAGTCTTTTTATAACTTGTTGTGAAGGCAGAAATAGTGGAGGCTTGCCTGAATGGAAAGCGGGAGGAGCAGAGCTATACCTGGGGATGGCAAGAGATACAAATTTTCCCAGATGCTCTTTTTATAGGCTGAAGTCGTAGTTGTTAACTGCACTGGCACCCTGCTGGAAGCTCTGTTGATTCCAAATGGATGAGACAAAAATAACTGTGTTGCTCTGTTCTGGAGGATCCCAGACTGAAGGTGTGGCAGGGGAAAGACATCCCTTGACAGAAGAACGTATCTGGGGATTTCCCTCCTGGTATCTTGAAAGTAAAGACAGCAACTCCCTGTTCTCCTCTTGAAAGCACCAGCAAGGGCAAAGGAACCCTGAGGTGCTGAGACATTACTGAGAAGGCCAACCTGAACACCCTTGTAGAAAGAAACACAGGGACCTTGCATGTTAACTCAGCTCCAGGTTGCCCTTGGGTAGTTCTTAGCTAAGTTTCTCTTAGCGATTAATTTGGTAACATCTGGAGTTTTCATTGACATATTGTCAAACCTAAGAAAGGTGCTTGAGCAATGCAAACTACTAAGGCCTCCATTCAGCAAAGCTCTTAACAAATTCTCCATTGGATGCTTTACTAGAAGTTTAAGCACCTGCTTACATTCTTCTTTGAGACACAAATTGATGAGACAAGGACTCCTACTTGTGTTATACAGAGGATCAAACTAGGGGGATCATGCCAGTCCTCATGAAAAGCCACTAGGAACATAGGAGATGGTCTTAAGCATGGAGTTATGTTCTGCATTAAGCTGAGTTACTTGAAAGAAGATGTGCAGTTTCAAACATGATGCAGTGGTTTGGGCACTCCTGACTGTTTGGCCGAGCCAACAGAAGATATCAAATGGGATACACCTCCACAGATAGAAGTGAACATACATGAGCTCCTCAGTTCTGAATCCCTTTCAGAGGAGGAATATATCCTCTCAAGCATGGTGCTGAACTTGAACGAAAGACAGAGATCTCTGAAGTACCCTTAGATGCTCTCCCAGCTCCTCTAGGTCCATCATCACTAGGGTTTCAGTCATCTTTTCTTACTAAAAAAGAGATGATGTCTTTGAACAGTAAAGCCATACTGCTGGGACAAAAGCAGTTCACATGGTTATAATAGTGACCCTGCTGGCTTTATCATCTCTGAGTATATTTGAGGTCATGGAGATGAAGTCTATTTCAGGTCAAGGTATATTCCTTTGCATATTTGAGGTAGCAGAAGAAGATGAAAAGTGTGATAGCACTTTAGAACAGCCCTGTTTCTGCAAGTGTCAAAATTTGTGCTCTAATGAACGTTTTTTTCTCTTGTCTTCATTTTGTCCATAGCCATGAAACCTATCGCATCTACAGGTGCTGCCAGGGAAGGGAGTCATTTCTAAGGCACGCAAGATTTAGATTTCAATTTTTCTTCCAAATTCCCTAGGGAGAAAAGATGCTGACAGAGACATCTGAAAATCTAATTAGAGAAGAGCTTCAGCTGCTGTTCCTCCAGTCTTTTTCATTTGTCTTGGCCTTTCCTGTTTTGTTTTAAAACCCTTTGAACTGGAAATACATTTTCCATTCAGTAAGATCCAGGCTATAACACCTCTCTGAAAATGCCACATTTTGAAAAGCTGACATTTAAAATCCTGGCTTAGGAAGTGGAAGAAAAAAAGTCACAAAAACAAAAAGACTGTGTTTTGACTTGTTCTAATGTTTTGTCTGTGCCGGGTAAGAGCACAGGCAGAATAAGACAGGAAGAGAAAGCAGGTGAGTCAAAATCAAAACATTTCCCATACAGCCCACATCCGATCTATATCAACCCCAGCTGTCTCTGTCTCTGGCAGCTCTCCAGAGCCACTTGCAAGTGTCTGTTTTAACAAGAGAAGTTCTGTTTTGCAACAATTTGATGCACATACATAGATCTTGCAAAACCCTCTCCTATTGCTCTTTCCAGCTTCTTGTCATTTTGACAAGCCCCATACCACATGATAGGGTTTTTCTGAAGCTTTTAGCTCGATTAAGGCAGACACAAAACTCCCTGCATTACTTCTGCAGCCATAGCAAAGCACTTGGATGCAATCAGCACCAAGCTGTATTTGGGCAGGCTCTCTGGCCTTTGTTGTGAGAGGTCTTTAATGCCAGTGCACTTGGGCATCAAGGGAGAAATTTGTCAATTGTCTGCTTGTGGTGATATCTCTCCATTCAGTTCCTATATTTTAATCACACTAAGCTAGTCAGCAACCAATTACAATAGTTGAAAAAATGAAAGTCCTTTTGATGGATGTTTTTTACCTTGTACCAGGTATCTGCAATACACATAAGCTTGGATATAACCTGAAGTACACTGCAATCTTGATAAAGGCTTTAGTCCAGCCAAAGACTTAAGCATATACTGAACTTTAAGCACAGGACTACTCCTTTTAGCCCAAGAAGAAGCCCTGGGAATTAAAAACAATTTTCCCAAGGTCCCATATTATGCTCTTTACCTATACAACATTTATTACTAAAATGTAAATCAGAAATTTACTGTTTTCTAAGGGATTTTCTCATTAAATATCCAGGGGGTTTCCAAGCATACACAAAAGATTCCCCTCCTGTCCCCCCCAAGCCAAAATGCACATTTTTCCTCTATCTTGCCAAAAGAATAAAAGTCTAGAGTGTACACAAGACCTGGATGCTTCCAAAAAACTCTGTGAAGTTTCCTGCCTCAGGGTGTATCAAGAAACAGACCATACAGTTTGCAAAGATATTTTTACATTTTGATTACTTTTATGCAGCTGTCAGTATTTTAGTGTATGTGAGATGTGAGACCCACCTAGTAGGATTCTCTCTCAAATATTCCATCTGAATCTTGCCCAGAAGGTTGGAATAATGAATTTTCCTTATTGACTTCCAGTATTTGTATCTAAATGGAAGTGTTAAAACAACAAAACACAGTTCAAGGCTTTTACTTTTGGTTCCCGTGTTTCAGATTTCATTTTTAAGTCTTCAATTATGCACCAATTTGTGTGCCTTCCTTACAGATGTTGATAATGGATTTAATCATCCTTTGCAAGAAACAGACACTGCTGTTGTTGGATTGTCTTCATGGATTCATGTTTTGTGCTTTCTTTAGATTAACCCTTTTCCCTCTCTGGCATTTTCCTGTCACCATCAGAAAACATCCATCAAAGATATTTCCATTGCAACTGAGTA